GTATCACTGTGTAAAGGGGTCAAATGTCAAAATAAAGTGGCGCAACTGAACATTTGAGACATTCATTGATGATTTAACACATCGATCTGATCTTGTGCATCTGTTATTTGAAGATGTAAATGTGTTTAGTCATTAGCTCACTCAGACTTTAATGATCATTCACTGAAATGTGCACAAATAACTAATCAAGATTTACCGTAAATGCATGATGAATGATCAGTCCTCATGAAGTTTGACTGTGGTTTAACCTGTGCTGGAAATGAATGGTCATCACAGGTCTGTAGAAGCCAGAGACTCATCCATCCTGAACCATCCAGAGACTCAGAGCTTTACATCTTCATTACTGAAGCAGAGGAAGAGGCGTTCAGTAAAAACTCTTGAGTCGAGATCTTCATGAAGAACAAAAGTGAAATGATATTTAACTTAATTCTTCATACTTTAACTTAACACTGATTTATAAAGCACACGCTGCAGCCTGTACAACTGAACTGAATGAACATGTATGAAGTGGCAATGACATTTAACAGTTTTTGGAGATATAAACATTTGTTTGAATGGATAGTGTGAATTAAATGTGTGATGAACAAGTTTTAATAATAAAATATATATTTTGAACAATCTGAGTTTAATGTTTCTTTCACATTGGGAAGTGCTCAACATGAAACCAGCTAAAAAATAATGAGATTGCCAGAGAATTAGTAAGAGTTTAAATGGTTATAATGCAAATTGCATTGCGTGACATATCTGAAGAGCGGTGGGGGCGTGTGCGTGCGTTGTACCCGAAGAGCGGTGAGGGTGAGTTGCGTGCGACGTACCTGAAGAGTTGGGAGGGAGGCGGTGGAGAGGGGTGTACATGGGGCGGGAGACGCGCGATTTCCGGGAGATTATCATTCGTTTGCGGGCATTAGGGAGACTCTATGCATTTGACTTGGGATGTCTGTTACATGAGCTTTCCAGTTCATCTGTTTTACTCCATCAGGTAAAGCTGATATCGATCTTCTGCTGGCCGAGACAATCACAAAATCAAATGTGTTTTAAAATACATTAGATCGTGTTAAAATCTCCTTAATCTCTCTTTACTGTTCACTCGACTGTCTCCGTCCACCTTGTTTATTTCATTAATGCGGATACACCTATTGACCACAGGAGGGAGCTGAGGATCACCTATTCACAAGTTTATTAGACACTTTTTCTTGAGGATGAAGATGTTTTAAAATGCATCCTTAAAACCTTCTGAGTCAGGGATTGAATTTTGACATTAAACTTTTAAAATAATAATTTTAAGCGTGTTTAACCTACAACACGACTCGTGTGTTATAAACTGTAGCGCAGTTCTCCATCCGCTCCACTAGGCGGCGCGCATTGCTTTACGTTCAGTCTGACTCGCAGCTTCAGGTGTTTGACAGCATGAGGCTTGATGATACAAAACATAAACACAAACCCTGACAGCTCCGTGATTTCATTATAATATCTCTAAACAGCACATAAACAACCCGAACCGTAAAGTGCAGGAACACAGTGACAATACAGTGACCTGTAAGTAACGTTTATATTGTTTGTTTGTTTGTTTGTTTGGATGAATGAATGTTTCTTCTGAACTCTCTTGGCTGGGCAGGTCAGTTTATTTAAATAAACACATGTAAGTCACAATATTGTCATTTTAATGAGGTTATTTTTACAATGTTTCTTTTATTTGACAACATGAGCATGTATTAATGCAGTCTGGTCCTTCATGGAGGTTTATCACAGACTTTTCTGACATGATGCTCTATTGCTGCTCTAGATGATATTCTCTTGCTGTTATTAGTATTTGTGTGTGTGTTGACTGTGTATATTGGTGTTGTGTAGATCTAAAGTTTTATAATATTTTGATATTACATTTAAAATTGTCTTAAATAGTTTTATTATTATTATATATTGAATTAATTTAGTTATTTCCTTTTCATACAATATGGTTTATACTGCAAAAACAGAACAATCAATAGCATTTGTCTTGTTCTTGTGTATGTTGTAGGCTTGCTATAGCTGAAACACAGAGACCATTTGAAGGCCATAGCCTTGACTTCAGGTTATCGCTAGACAGAATGAAGTGGAGGACCCTTCATACACCAGACAGCAGGAGGGATTCATTAACTCACCTCGACTTGAACAGCATGTGAGTCACACAGTCTTCATTCTTTTAGAAATGAGTTCCTGCTGTTTGTTTTATTATTTGAAGACTTTTAATTATTAATATATTGTGATATGATTTTATTAAAATATGTGACAGACTTTTATAGTTATTTATAGTCAGTATATTTTAATAGGTTGTAATTATTTCAATTTACTTGAATAAATTTTATGTTTTAATTGTTTTCATTTTCTTAATTCTGCTTTACTTTTTTAATTTGTCAAAATTGTATATTAATTTAATATTAGAAAAAAGTTTTGAAACTTAAAATTAGAAATTCCGGTTGAAAGACGTAAGATATATATATTATTTTTATATTAATAATTGTTAATATATGCAGATACTAATTGTTATTTTATTGAAATGGTTTATTGTGTTAATTTTTTTTTTAAATGGCGGCACACGTGGGTAACCTCAAAATAACAAAAAGAACAGTTCATTGTATGTCCAGTGATGGCCTAGTGGTCAGAGCAAAGGGTTAGAGATCCAAGGCCATCACATGAGATGTGGGTTCGAAGCACCACGCTGATACTGAAATTTTCTATAAAGTTCATTTTAGGCAGTTTTTGGGTTCAAAAAAAAATTTTTCCTCCTCTGCTTCTCCTCCTCCCACCAGGTCTTCTTCTCCCATCACTACTCCTCCTTGTCTCTCTACTCCACCCTTTTCTCAGCCACGCCTCTCTCATCCTTGTCACGCCCATTTTTCAGTCCAACTTTCACCACCGCAGTTATGTTTCTAGTCCGTGTTTCAGTTTCTCTTGTCCGCGCAACCATTCTGTGTTACCGCCCCAGTTTGTTTCCAGTGTCCGCCTCTTATGTCACACCGCCCCAGATTGTTTCCAGTAACCACCTCTCATGTTGTACTGCCCCAGGTACTTTGCTGTATTCACAGCTGTGTTTAGTGGGATTCGAACCCATGCCTCATTCGTAACCTTGTCCGCAACCAACGGTGTTTGCCACTAGTGCCATCGTGACTTTCACACTGAGAACTGAACTTCGCGCAATTTTGTCTTTTTTCTGACAACAGTTAAACATAAACATGAGTGGGATTCGAACCCCGGTCTCCAAGATGAAAGCTGAGGTTGTTATCCACTGACCCATTGGGCCTGTGTAGTTAGTTTGTGTCCCAAACAGAGTTTTATTTATATGTTTATTGTTAATGCAGAAAAATCGTAGCACAGGTGGGATTTGAACCTATGCTTTCTTGTTTGATATGCAATTAATCAACCACTAGACCACAGAGGTTACTGGAGTAATCAGGAATTTTTTTGTTTTTAGCTAAAGGTTTGACTGCAGTTATGACGTAAAGTTTGCAAGAGTGGGATTTGAACCCACACCTCCGCGAGAATAGTCAAAGTGCAAATGTTTATTCACTGCGCCACAGAGGCAGTGACCATAAATATAGTTTGCTGTCAGAGTAATCCTTATTGTTACTACAGCGAAAGCATTGGTTTCAACACTCTTCCCTTTAGCAATAGTGGGATTCGAACCCCTGACTCTGCACTATAAAACATACACAGAATAAGAACATAACCTCTGCGCCACAGAGCTAGTGATGATCATTCTGTTTGTTTTCAAAGTGATGCTTGTGTTTACGTCAGCTTGAGCAATAAGTTAAGTACATTTCACATTAGCAAGAGTCAAATACGAACCCACGACCCTGCGCTATTCATATACAAAGAGCAAATAAATATTCTTTGTGCCACAGAGGCAGAGATGACTGAAAGGTGCTTGTTTTCAGAGTGATTCTTCTTTTTACTGAAGCTTAAGCATTATTTACAATACATTTTACTTTAGCAAGAGTGGGATTCAAACCCACATCTCTGCATTATAAAACATGCAATAGGCAAATGGTTATCCTCTGCACCACAGAGACAGCACTTGTGTAATGTATTTGTTTTCACAGTAATTCTTGATTTCACCTGGGCTTTAGCATTGATTTACAAACATCTGACATTAGCAAGAGTGGGATTTGAACCCACGTCTCTGCATTATAGAAGATGCCAAGAGTGAATGATTATCCTCTGTACCACAGAATTAGTAGCATATGTACTTGTGCGATTTAACTATAAGTAATTTAAATTCATCAGTACAGCTGCAGCATTGATTACAATATATTTAGGGTTAATGGGAGCGTGATCCAAGCTCATGATTTAGTGGTTCAAGTGCTTAAGCGCTAGTTTTGCAATCTGGGAGACCGGGGTTCAATACCACCTTTGCTAATGTTGTGTTTAAGAAGAAAAAACAAACGACACATAACAGCTGTCATCAACCCGTAACAAACATTGTGGTGCAGAGGAAAATAATTCACTCCTCATATCTATAATCAGAGTCAGTCGAGTTTGAGTGTATTTATTGTGCAAGTAGAAAACTCCATAATTGTGGATTGTTTTTTAGGAGTTTCATGTTGTCAACAATTATACCACAGAGTTTGTGATGGTTCATGAGGTCTTTCAATCACATTAAAAAGTGGGACTTTTTAGATGATTATAAACTGTCACATGCACTAATAATTGAAAACATGGTCAAATAAGTTTACTGAAGTAAATAATGAAACCAAAAATACTTTTAAATCACTTTTTATTAACTCAAACTCACAGTGAAACACATACACAATTTGTAAAAGCATCATCAGTTTAGTCAAATCAATCTTTTATTATCATCATCTAAATTACAGAGTTTGTCACACATTTGCCTTGAAGCTTCTCGTTTGCTGAAAGTCCTTAATTAACAGCCTCAGGTGTTTTCATCAGGTTGGAGCTTCACTCTGGCAAGTGGATCTTCAGGATCAGGATTTCTCCTAATGGAAAAAATGTCTTAGTAAGTCAGTTTCAAGTATTAATGCAGATCCACTTATTGTCCACAAGATGGAGCTGAAACACTGATCTGACCCTAATGCATCTTTCTGTAATAAATAAAGCTGATGTTATAAACGCAAACAAATGATTAATATTCATTATATAACAGACTTTATTTGTCGAAACATGTCGTATGCATTCAGTAATCAGTCAAAGTTTACAACAAATGCTGCTTAAATCTGCCAACAGTGATTCAGCAACTTAAATTAGTCAACCAAGTGATTAACATCATCAAAGACAAAAGTGAAACAAACTTGACACGAAGACACATTAAAAGAGTACTAGAAGATATTTTGTCCAGTTTTGATGCGTTCACTCAACATGATTCTACCCCTGAATAAATAAATCAGAGATTAGTTTGATTAGATGCCAATTTATGAATATGAATCTCCAATTCTCACACTTATGTCTCGTCAAATGATTTTGCCCAGAGCACAAAGTAATGGAGTATTGCCAGCAAACGCAGTTCTCCATCAGGTCCACTAGGCGGCGTATGCGTCTCAGCTTCATGACGGTCGCCTGTTGCCACGACAACACCAAAACCGACAGATCCTGCAATGACAAGATCAATAACAAAATCAATATTATTGTCAAAATCAGTCAAAGCCAGATATTTCAGCACAACAGCAAATAACACTGACACACACAGTCCAGATAACATGCTGGAATCACCTGTCACGCAGCTCAATGGTACGTAACTTTATTAATTAATAATGCTTTTCAGAAATAATACTATAGTAATTTATAGTAAATACTGTGGTGTTTTTAAACAGAATAGTAAAGTTTATTATACTGAATATATTATTTACAGCAAACTATAGCATTAACTATAGTGATCTGATAAACTGTAACAAACACTGTCGTCCACTTTAATTTTTACTACAGTAAACTGGTGTATAGTAGTGTAATTTACCTGATAGTTGTAGAGAATGTGCTGAGTTAATCTTAGTACAGGGTCACTCGTTTATATCTGGCTGTTGTATTATCATATGCACTTTAAAATTACTGCAGCAGATTAATTCAGTTTACTATAATATGGTTCAAAAACACCACAGTATTTATTCACTATAAACGTCTGATTTTTCATGTTAGTTTTGTTTTGCTTAGTAAATTTGAGTTATTTTATCAATATAGCAGGCTTCGTTTCCTACATTGTATCAGACTTCCTGAAAGTCACCAATAACAGTTGGTCAGGATAACTAATTTACTCTCATTTGTTGTGATGATTGAAAGTCAGGTTTACTCCACCAGAGTAGGGGTCCTTCTGTGTAGATCAGTGGTAGGGTTGCACCAGCTGTCGGTATGCTATTGCTTAAACTGGAACATAAAGTGCACACTAGAGGCTTAGTAACCACTAGCTAGTTCCTAACTAAATTTGTTCTTACTTCGGTTGCACCACATGCTCTTAAAGACAGAACATAGTTAGTAGGCCGTAAGCTCTCGATAAAGTAATGCGCAGTCACATTGAATGACGTAATATCCAATAAAAAGCCTTTAAATCGTTAAACTGCTAAACTCAAAAATATTTAGTGGTGTGTAACTTACTGTCCATTTATGTCCCAACCAGGCTGTTTTAACTCTCATGCACTGCTGGTACAATCAACCCCAAATCTAGAGTTAAACACTTTAATAAACAAAGGTAAAACACTGGTGTTTCATCGTCAGTATTATTTGCAAAAATTAAAATGCTCTAAGGCACAACATCTTTATTTAAAATTGAGAAGAAAGGTCAATATCAGCAGTTATTCACAGATTAAGCTGTAACTGAACATTACAAATGCAAAGAAACCAATAATTGCAGCTGGTGTTTTAATGTTGTGCTGTAGCTGTGCTTTAACTGTTATATACTGCATGAAATGAAGTCAGTTTATGCGTCTCTTCTACAAAATAAAGGACGTGTTTGGGTCATACGGTCAACAAAAGCAGAGCTGTGGGACGTGTGGATAGACAGTCCCTGTAATGAAGGACATCCACTCATGGACAGGTAAGATACTGTTATGAAGCAAACACATAGACCACTATCAATTTCATGTCAAAGGTCAAAATAAAGTGGCGCAACTGAACATGTTCAGACATTCATTGATGATTTAACACATCGATCTGATCTTGTGCATCTGTTATTTGAAGATGTAAATGTGTTTAGTCATTAGCTCACTCAGACTTTAATGATCATTCACTGAAAAGTGCACAAATAACTAATCAAGATTTACCTTAAATGCACGATGAATGATCAGTCCTCATGAAGTTTGGCTGTGGTTTAACCTGTGCTGGAAATGAATGGTCATCACAGGTCTGTAGAAGCCAGAGACTCATCCATCCTGAACCATCCAGAGACTCAGAGCTTTACATCTTCATTACTGAAGCAGAGGAAGAGGCGTTCAGTAAAAACTCTTGAGTCGAGATCTTCATGAAGAACAAAAGTGAAATGTTATTTAACTTAATTCTTCATACTTTAACTTAACACTGATTTATAAAGCACACGCTGCAGCCTGTACAACTGAACTGAATGAACATGTATGAAGTAGCAATGACATTTAACAGTTTTTGGAGATATAAACATTTGTTTGAATGGATAGTGTGAATTAAATGTGTGATGAACAAGTTTTAATAATAAAATATATATTTTGAACAATCTGAGTTTAATGTTTCTTTCACATTGGGAAGTGCTCAACATGAAACCAGCTACAAAATAATGAGATTGCCAGAGAATTAGTAAGAGTTTAAATGGTTATAATGCAAATTGCTCTGGTTTTAATTGAAACTGCAATGTGCTGGTGAGTTTTACTTGTATTGTGTTGCCTTCTATCTTATATAGAGACCTGAGCATATATGAACATATGAGAGAGGATCTGGAGCAGTTCAACCACTCTACCACCAGATGCCCTGAGTTAGACTTCTTAGCTGAAGACACATTGGAAATCTCCTTTTAGTGAAAGCAGTGCTGAAATGTCCATATATGAACACCTGAGATTATAGAGAATATATTTAAACATATACGCACATATTTTAATTACTTTATATTTTTTTATTATTTATTTTTATACATTAATTATATTTGTAAACAAACATGTTTCATATGTGATATTTTATATATGTGAAATTTAAACATGATCTTGAATGTCATATGTGTCATTTTCATGCATTGCCATGTCAGATTTCTATAAGGGATTGGTGTGGTGGTAACTGGATGGTAAAAGCACAAAATTCTGCTGCTCTGGAATTGTTTGCAGATTCCAGCAGTATTGATATAAACGCTGTTTGATTCTGCAAACAAGACACAGCAAAACACTTTAACAGTGATCAACAGCGGCGCACGTGCATGTAAATAAATCAAGTCAAACGCGCATCTACTTTACCCAGAGTCTCGGAGGATTGTCCATTCATAGCTGCCAGTGTTTACATGAGCTTTCCAGTTCACCTGTTTTACTCCATCAGGTTAAAGCTGATCTCGATCTTCTGCTGGCCGAGACAATCACAAAGTCAAATCTGTTGTAAAATATCCTGGAATATCATAGAAATCCCCTTAATCTGTCTTCAGTGTTCACTCGACTGACTGTGCGTCCACACTGTGCGTGTTTATTTCATTAATGCGGATACACCTATTGACCACAGGAGGGAGCTGAGGATCACCTATTCACAAGTTTATTAGACACTTTTTCTTGAGGGTGAACATGTTTTAAACTGCATCCTCAAAGCCTTCTGAGTCAGTGATTGGAATTTGACATTAAACTATTAAAATAATAATTTTAAGCGTGTTTAACCTACAACACGACTCGTGTGTTATAAACTGTAGCGCAGTTCTCCATCCGCTCCACTAGGCGGCGCGCATTGCTTTACGTTCCATCTGACCCGCAGCTTCAGGTGTTTGACAGCATGAGACTTGATGATACAAAACATAAACACAAACCCTGACAGCTCCGTGATTTCATTATAATATCTCTAAACAGCACATAAACAACCCGAACCGTAAAGTGCAGGAACACAGTGACAATACAGTGACCTGTAAGTAACGTTCATATTGTTTGTTTGTTTGTTTGGATGAATGTTTCTTCTGAACTCTCTTGGCTGGGCAGGTCAGTTTATTTAAATAAACACATGTAAGTCACAATATTGTCATTTTAATGAGGTTATTTTTACAATGTTTCTTTTATTTGACAACATGAGCATGTATTAATGCAGTCTGGTCCTTCATGGAGGTTTATCACAGACTTTTCTGACATGATGCTCTATTGCTGCTCTAGATGATATTCTCTTGCTATTATTAGTATTTGTGTGTGTGTTGTCTGTGTATATTGGTGTTGTGTAGATCTAAAGTGTTATAATATTTTGATATTACATTTAAAATTGTCTTAAATAGTTTTATTACTATTATATATTGAATTAATTTAGTTATTTCCTTTTCATACAATATGATTTGCACTGCAAAAACAGAACAATCAATAGCATTTGTCTTGTTCTTGTGTATGTTGTAGGCTTGCTATAGCTGAAACACAGAGACAGTTTGAAGGCCATAGCCTTGACTTCAGGTTATCGCTAGACAGAATGAAGTGGAGGACCCTTCATACACCAGACAGCAGGAGGGATTCATTAACTCACCTCGACTTGAACAGCATGTGAGTCACACAGTCTTCATTCTTTTAGAAATGAGTTCCTGCTGTTTGTTTTATTATTTGAAGACTTTTAATTATTAATATATTGTGATATGATTTTATTAAAATATGTGACAGACTTTTATAGTTATTTATAGTCAGTATATTTTAATAGGTTGTAATTATTTCAATTTACTTGAATGAATTTTATGTTTTAATTGTTTTCATATTCTTAATTCTGCTTTAATATACAATTTTGACAAATTAAAAAAGTAATTTAATATTAGAAAAAAGTTTTGAAACTTAAAATTAGAAATTCCGGTTGAAAGACGTAAGATTTATATATTATTTCTATATTATTAATTGTTAATATATGCAGATACTAATTGTTATTTTATTGAAATGGTTTATTGTGTTAATTTTTTTTTTAAATGGCGGCACACGTGGGTAACATCAAAATAACGAAAAGAACAGATCAATGTATGTCCAGTGATGGCCTAGTGGTCAGAGCAAAGGGTTAGAGATCCAAGGCCATCACATGAGATGTGGGTTCGAATCACCACGCTGATACTGAAATTTTCTATAAAGTTCATTTTAGGCCGTTTTTGGGTTCAAAAAAAATTTTTTTCCTCCTCTGCTTCTCCTCCTCCCACCAGGTCTCCTTCTCCCACCACTCCTCCTCCACGTCTCTCTACTCCACCCTTTTCTCAGCCACGCCTCTCTCATCCTTGTCACGCCCATTTTTCAGTCCAACTTTCACCACCGCAGTTATGTTTCTAGTCCGTGTTTCAGTTTCTCTTGTCCGCACAACCATTCTGTGTTACCGCCCCAGTTTGTTTCCAGTGTCCACCTCTTGTGTCTCACCGCCCCAGATTGTTTCTGGTAACTGCTGCTTATGTTGTACCGCCCCAGGTATTTTGCTGTATTCACAGCTGTGTTTGGTGGGATTCGAACCCATGCCTCATTCGTAACCTTGTCCGCAACCAACGGAGTTTGCCACTAGTGCCATCGTGACTTTCACACTGAGAGCTGAACTTCGCGCAATTTTGTCTTTTTTCTGACAACAGTTAAACATAAACATGAGTGGGATTCGAACCCCGGTCTCCAAGATGAAAGCTGAGGTCGTTATCCACTGACCCATTGGGCCTGTGTAGTTAGTTTGTGTCCCAAACAGAGTTTTATTTATATGTTTATTGTTAATGCAGGTAAATCGTAGCACAGGTGGGATTTGAACCTATGCTTTCTTGTTTGATATGCAATTATTCAACCACTAGACCACAGAGGTTACTGGATTAATCAGGAATTTTTTTGTTTTTAGCTAAAGGTTTGACTGCAGTTATGACGTAAAGTTTGCCAGAGTGGGATTCGAACCCACACCTCTGCGAGAATAGTCAAAGTGCAAATGTTTATTCACTGTGCCACAGAGGCAGTGACCATAAATATAGTTTGCTGTCAGAGTAATCCTTATTGTTACTACAGCGAAAGCATTGGTTTCAACACTCTTCCCTTTAGCAATAGTGGGATTCGAACCCCTGACTCTGCACTATAAAACATGCAAAGAATAAGAAATTAGCCTCTGCGCCACAGAGTTAGTGATGATCAATCTGTTTGTTTTCAAAGTGATGCTTGTGTTTACGTCAGCTTGAGCAATAAGTTAAGTACATTTCACATTAGCAAGAGTCAAATACGAACCCACGACCCTGCGCTATTCATATACAAAGAGCAAATGATTATTGTTTGTGCCACAGACGCAGAGATGACTGAACGGTGTTTGTTTTCAGAGTGATTCTTCTTTTTACTGAAGCTTAAGCATTATTTACAATACATTTTACTTTAGCAAGAGTGGGATTCAAACCCACATCTCTGCATTATAAAACATGCAATAGGCGAATAGTTATCCTCTGCACCACAGAGACAGCACTTGTGTAATGTATTTGTTTTCACAGTGATTCTTGATTTCACCTGGGCTTTAGCATTGATTTACATACGTCTTATATTAGCAAGAGCGGGATTTGAACCCACGTCTCTGCATTATAGAAGATGCCAAGAGTGAATGATTATCCTCTGTACCACAGAATTATTAGCGTATGTACTTGTGCGATTTAACTATAAGTAATTTAAATTCATCAGTACAGCTGCAGCATTGATTACAATATATTTAGGGTTAATGGAAGTGAGATACAAGCTCATGATTTAGTGGTTCAAGTGCTTAAGCGCTAGTTTTGCAATCTGGGAGACCGGGGTTCAATACCACCTTTGCTAATGTTGTGTTTCAGAAGAAAAAACAACACATAACAGCTGTCATCAACCCGTAACAAACATTGTGGTGCAGAGGAAAATAATTCACTCCTCATATCAGTAATCAGAGTCGTATTCATTCGTTTGAGTGTATTTATTGTGCAAGTAGAAAACTCCATAATTGTGGATTGTTTTTTAGGAGTTTCATGTTGTCAACAATTATACCACAGAGCTTGTGATGGTTCATGAGGTCTGTCAATCACATTAAAAAGTGGTACATTTTAAATGATTATAAACTGTCACATGCACTAATAATTGAAAACATGGTCAAATGAGTTTACTGAAGTGAATAATGAAACCAAAAATACTTTTAAATCACTTTTTATTAACTCAAACTCACAGTGAAACACATACACGATTTGTAAAAGCATCATCAGTTTAGTCAAATCAATCTTTTATTATCATCATCTGAATTACAGAGTTTGTCACACATTTGCCTTGAAGCTTCTCGTTTGCTGAAAGTCCTTAATTAAAAGCCTCAGGTGTTTTCATCAGGTTGGAGCTTCACTCTGGAAAGTGGATCTTCAGGATCAGGATTTCTCCTAATGGAAAAAATGTCTTAGTAATTCAGTTTCAAGTATTAATGCAGATCCACTTATTGTCCACAAGATGGAGCTGAAACACTGATCTGACCCTAATGCATCTTTCTGTAATAAATAAAGCTGATGTTATAAACGCAAACAAATGATTAATATTCATTATATAACAGACTTTATTTGTCGAAACATGTCGTATGCATTCAGTAATCAGTCAAAGTTTACTACAAATGCTGCTTAAATCTGCCAACAGTGATTCAGCAACTTAAATTAGTCAACCAAGTGATTAACATCATCAAAGACAAAAGTGAAACAAACTTGACACGAAGACACATTAAAAGAGTACTAGAAGATATTTTGTCCAGTTTTGATGCGTTCACTCAACATGATTCTGCTCCTGAATAAATAAATCAGAGATTAGTTTGATTAGATGCCAATTTATGAATATGAATCTCCAATTCTCACACTTATGTCTCGTCAAATGATTTTGCCCAGAGCACAAAGTAATGGAGTATTGCCAGCAAACGCAGTTCTCCATCAGGTCCACTAGGCGGCGTATGCGTCTCAGCTTCATGACGGTCGCCTGTTGCCACGACAACACCAAAACCGTTTAACCGACACATCCTGCAATGACAAGATCAATAAGAAAATCTATATTATTGTCAAAATCAGTCAAAGCCAGATATTTCAGCACAACAGCAAATAACACTGACACACACAGTCCAGATAACATGCTGGAATCACTTGTCACGCAGCTCAATGGTACGTAACTTTATTAATTAATAGTGCTTTTCAGAAATAATACTATAGTAATTTATAGTAAACACTGTGGTGTTTTTAAACAGAATAGTAAAGTTTATTATACTGAATATATTATTTACAGCAAACTATAGCATTAACTATAGTGATCTGATAAACTGTAACAAACACTGTCGTCCACTTTAATTTTTACTACAGTAAACTGGTGTATAGTAGTGTAATTTACCTGATAGTTGTAGAGAATGTGCTGAGTTAATCTTAGTACAGGGTCACTCGTTTATATCTGGCTGTTGTATTATCATATAAACTTTAAAATTACTGCAGCAGATTAATTCAGTTTACTATAATATGGTTCAAAAACACCACAGTATTTATTCACTATAAACGTCTGATTTTTCATGTTAGTTTTGTTTTGCTTAGTAAATTTGAGTTATTTTATCAATATAGCAGGCTTCGTTTCCTAAATTGTATCAGACTTCCTGAAAGTCACCAATAACAGTTGGTCAGGATAACTAATTTACTCTCATTTGTTGTGATGATTGAAAGTCAGGTTTACTCCACCAGAGTAGGGGTCCTTCTGTGTAGATCAGTGGTAGGGTTGCACCAGCTGTCGGTATGCTATTGCTTAAACTGGAACATAAAGTGCACACTAGAGGCTTAGTAACCACTAGCTAGTTCGTAACTAAATTTGTTCTTACTTCGGTTGCACCACATGCTCTTAAAGACAGAACATAGTTAGTAGGCTGTAAGCTCTCGGTAAAGTAATGCGCAGTCGCATTGAATGACGTAATATCCAATAAAAAGCCTTTAAATCGTTAAACTGCTAAACTCAAAAATATTTAGTGGTGTGTAACTTACTGTCCATTTATGTCCCAACCAGGCTGTTTTAACTCTCATGCACTGCTGGTACAATCAACCCCAAATCTAGAGTTAAACACTTTAATAAACAAAGGTAAAACACTGGTGTTTCATCGTCAGTATTATTTGCAAAAATTAAAATGCTCTAAGGCAGTGGTTCTCAATCTGTGGTACGTGTACCACTAGTGGTACGCGGGCTTCCTTCTAGTGGTACACAGAGGAATGAAATATGTCATGTACTGTACATGCTACATATATTTTAAAATGTATTAAAAAACATGTATATTTAAGGCTAATCTGCCACGTTTTTTTTATTGTGCAGAGTTGTAGCTGCTTCACTGGGCCTACCACGCTACTGTATTTCAATACTACTCATTTTGGTGGTACTTTGAGAGACAATTTTTTTCTGAGGTGGTACTTGATGAAAAAAGTTTGAGAACCACTGCTCTAAGGCACAACATCTTTATTTAAAATTGAGAAGAAAGGTCAATATCAGCAGTTATTCACAGATTAAGCTGTAACTGAACATTACAAATGCAAAGAAACCAATAATTGCAGCTGGTGTTTCAATGCTGTGCTGTAGCTGTGCTTTAACTGTTATATACTGCATGAAATGAAGTCAGTTTATGCGTCTCTTCTACAAAATAAAGGACGTGTTTGGGTCATACGGTCAACAAAAGCAGAGCTGTGGGACGTGTGGATAGACAGTCCCTGTAATGAAGGACATCCACTCATGGACAGGTAAGATACTGTTATGAAGCAAACACATAGACCACTATCAATTTCATGTCGAAGGTCAAAATAAAGTGGCGCAACTGAACATGTTCAGACATTCATTGATGATTTAACACATCGATCTGATCTTGTGCATCTGTTATTTGAAGATGTAAATGTGTTTAGTCATTAGCTCACTCAGACTTTAATGATCATTCACTGAAAAGTGCACAAATAACTAATCAAGATTTACCGTAAATGCATGATGAATGATCAGTCCTCATGAAGTTTGACTGTGGTTTAACCTGTGCTGGAAATGAATGGTCATCACAGGTCTGTAGAAGCCAGAGACTCATCCATCCTGAACCATCCAGAGACTCAGAGCTTTACATCTTCATTACTAAAGCAGAGGAAGAGGCGTTCAGTAAAAACTCTTGAGTCGAGATCTTCATGAAGAACAAAAGTGAAATGATATTTAACTTAATTCTTCATACTTTAACTTAACACTGATTTATAAAGCACACGCTGCAGCCTGTACAACTGAACTGAATGAACATGTATGAAGTGGCAATGACATTTAACAGTTTTTGGAGATATAAACATTTGTTTGAATGGATAGTGTGAATTAAATGTGTGATGAACAAGTTTTAATAATAAAATATATATTTTGAACAATCTGAGTTTAATGTTTCTTTCACATTGGGAAGTGCTCAACATGAAACCAGCTACAAAATAATGAGATTGCCAGAGAATTAGTAAGAGTTTAAATGGTTATAATGCAAATTGCTCTGGTTTTAATTGAAACTGCAATGTGCTGGTGAGTTTTACTTGTATTGTGTTGCCTTCTATCTTATATAGAGACCTGAGCATATATGAACATATGAGAGAGGATCTGGAGCAGTTCAACCACTCTACCACCAGATGCCCTGAGTTAGACTTCTTAGCTGAAGACACATTGGCAATCTCCTTTTAGTGAAAGCAGTGCTGAAATGTCCATATATGAACACCTGAGATTATAGAGAATATATTTAAACATATACGCACATATTTTAATTACTTTATATTTTTAAATTATATATTTTTTATTTATATATTAGTTATATTTGTAAACAAACATGTTTCAAATGTGATATTTTATATATGTGAAATTTAAACATGATCTTGAATGTCATATGTGTCATTTTCATGCATTGCCATGTCAGATTTCTATATGGGATTGGTGTGGTGGTAACTGGATGGTAAAAGCACAAAATCCAGCTGCTCTGGAATTGTTTGCAGATTCCGGCAGTATTGATATAAACGCTGTTTGATTCTGCAAACAAGACACAGCAAAACACTAATTGTGAACAACAGCGGCGCACGTGCATGTAAATAAATCAAGTCAAACGCGCATCTACTTTACCCAGAGTCTCGGAGGATTGTCCATTCATCGCTGCCAGTGTTTACATGAGCTTTCCAGTTCACCTGTTTTACTCCATCAGGTTAAAGCTGATCTCGATCTTCTGCTGGCCGAGACAATCACAAAGTCAAATGTGTTGTAAAATATCCTGGAATATCATAGAAATCCCCTTAATCTGTATTCAGTGTTCACTCGACTGACTGTGCGTCCACCCTGTGCGTGTTTATTTCATTAATGCGGATACACCTATTGACCACAGGAGGGAGCTGAGGAACACCTATTCACAAGTTTATTAGACACTTTTTCTTGAGGGTGAACATGTTTTAAACTGAATCCTCAAAACCTTCTGAGTCAGTGATTGGAATTTGACATTAAACTATTAAAATAATAATTTTAAGCGTGTTTAACCTACAACACGACTCGTGTGTTATAAACTGTAGCGCAGTTCTCCATCCGCTCCACTAGGCGGCGCGCATTGCTTTACGTTCCATCTGACCCGCAGCTTCAGGTGTTTTGACAGCATGAGGCTTGATGATACAAAACATAAACACAAACCCTGACAGCTCCGTGATTTCATTATAATATCTCTCTAAACAGCACATAAACAACCCGAACCGTAAAGTGCAGGAACACAGTGACAATACAGTGACCTGTAAGTAACGTTCATATTGTTTGTTTGTTTGTTTGTTTGGATGAATGTTTCTTCTGAACTCTCTTGGCTGGGCAGGTCAGTTTATTTAAATAAACATATGTAAATCACAATATTGTCATTTTAATGAGGTTATTTTTACAATGTTTCTTTTATTTGACAACATGAGCATGTATTAATGCAGTCTGGTCCTTCATGGAGGTTTATCACAGACTTTTCTGACATGATGCTCTATTGCTGCTCTAGATGATATTCTCTTGCTGTTATTAGTATTTGTGTGTGTGTTGTCTGTGTATATTGGTGTTGTGTAGATCTAAAGTGTTATAATATTTTGATATTACATTTAAAATTGTCTTAAATAGTTTTATTATTATTATTTATTGAATTAATTTAGCTATTTCCTTTTCATACAATATGGTTTATACTGCAAAAACAGAACAATCAATAGCATTTGTCTTGTTCTTGTGTATGTTGTAGGCTTGCTATAGCTGAAACACAGAGACAGCTTGAAGGCCATAGCCTTGACTTCAGGTTATCGCTAGACAGAATGAAGTGGAGGACCCTTCATACACCAGACAGCAGGAGGGATTCATTAACTCACCTCGACTTGAACAGCATGTGAGTCACACAGTCTTCATTCTTTTAGAAATGAGTTCCTGCTGTTTGTTTTATTATTTGAAGACTTTTAATTATTAATATATTGTGATATGATTTTATTAAAATATGTGACAGACTTTTATAGTTATTTATAGTCAGTATATTTTAATAGGTTGTAATTATTTCAATTTACTTGAATGAATTTTATGTTTTAATTGTTTTCATATTCTTAATTCTGCTTTAAAATACAATTTTGACAAATTAAAAAAGTAATTTAATATTAGAAAAAAGTTTTGAAACTTAAAATTAGAAATTCCGGTTGAAAGACGTAAGATTTATATATTATTTTTATATTATTAATTGTTAATATATGCAGATACTAATTGTTATTTTATTGAAATGGTTTATTGTGTTAATTTTTTTTTAAATGGCGGCGCACGTGGGTAACCTCAAAATAACAAAAAGAACAGTTCGTTGTATGTCCAGTGATGGCCTAGTGGTCAGAGCAAAGGGTTAGAGATCCAAGGCCATCACATGAGATGTGGGTTCGAATCACCACGCTGATACTGAAATTTTCTATAAAGTTCATTTTAGGCCGTTTTTGGGTTCAAAAAAAAATTTTTCCTCCTCTGCTTTTCCTCCTCCCACCAGATCTCATTCTCCCACCACCACTTCTCCTCGTCTCTCTACTCCACCCTTCTCTCAGCCACGCCTCTTTCATCCTTGTCACGCCCATCTCTCAGTCCGACTTTCACCACGGCAGTTATGTTTCTAGTCCGTGTTTCAGTTTCTCTTGTCCGCGCAACCATTCTGTATTACCGCCCCAGTTTGTTTCCAGTGTCCGCCTCTTGTGTCTTACCGCCCCAGGTTGTTTCCGGTAACCGCCTCTTATGTTGTACCGCCCCAGGTACTTTGCTGTATTCACAGCTGTGTTTGGTGAGATTCGAACCCATGCCTCGTTTGTAACCTTGTCCGCAACCAACGGTGTTTGCCACTAGTGCCATTGTGACTTTCACACTGAGAGCAGAACTTCGCGCAATTTTGTCTTTTTTCTGACAACAGTTAAACATAAACATAAGTGGGATTCGAACCCCGGTCTACAAGATGAAAGCTGAGGTCTTTATCCACTGACCCATTGGGCCTGTGTAGATAACGTGTGTTCCAAACAGAGTTTTATTGATATGTTTATTGTGTATGCAGAAAAATTGTTGCAAAGGTGGGATTTGAACCTAACCTTTCTTGATTGATATGCAATCATTCAACCACTAAACCACAGAAGTTGCTAGATTGATGTGTGGAATTTTTTGTTTTTAGCTAAAGGTCAGACTGCAGTTATGACGTAATGTTTGCAAGAGTGGGATTCGAACCCACACCTTTGCGTCATGAAATAGGCAAAGAACAAATGTTTATCCATTGCGCCACAAAGGCAGAGACCATCACGGTGTGTTTGCTCTCAGACTGATGCTTGTTGTTACTACGGCTAAAGCATTGGTTTCAACATTCTTCCCTTTAGCAATAGTGGGTTTCGAACTCCTGACTTTTCACTATAAAACATGCAAAGAACAAGAACTTAGCCACTGCGCCACAGAGCTAGTGTTGATCATCGGGTTTGTTTTCAAAGTGATTATTGTTTTTACTGAAGCTTAAGCATTAATTAAAATACATTTGACTGTAGCAAGAGCGGGATTCGAACCCATAACTCTGCGTTATAATCCATGCTACAGGCGAATAGTTATCCTCTGCACCACAGAGTCAGCAGCCATTTCAGTGTCTTTGTTTTCACAGTGATTCTTGATTATACCTCAGCTCTAGCATTAATTTACAAACATCTCACATTAGCTGGATTCGAACCAACGTCTCTGCATTATAGAAGATGCCAAGAGCGAATGATTATCCTCTACACCACAGAATTAGTAGCGTCTGTATATGTTTGATTTAAGTATAATTAATTTAAATTCATCAGTACAGCTCCAGCGTTGATTACAATATATTTAGGGTTAATGGGAGTGGAATTTGATTTCACGATTTAGTGGTACAAGTGTTTAAGCGCTTGTTTTGCAATCGGGGAGACCGGGGTTCAATCCCCACCTCTGCGAATGTTGTGGTTAAGAAAAATAAACATATAACAGCTATAATCAATCCGTTACAAACTTTGTGATGCAGAGGATAACAATTCAGCCTTCATATTTGTAATCAGAGCATGAGTTCAGTATATTTATTGTGCAAGTTGAACACTAGTTTTTTTAGGAGTTAAATTTGGTCAGCGATTATACACTGCACCGCAGACTTTGTGATGGTTCATAGGGATTTGATTTATGGTGTTTTAATGTTTCATTTTCTTTTAATGACACTTCCATGTCAGCAGTACTGGGACTTGAACTCTGGTTTCAGGTACTGGAAGGCACTGACTTATTGCCTGAGCCACTGAAGGACATAAGTATGAGCGTGTTTTTTTGCATATTGCAATTATCAATGTTCAGCAGCTGAACTAATTATGCTGCAGCTGCATTTTAAGTCAGCAATTAAGGGATCTGAACTCCCGATGTGTGTTTTACCCTCTTTGGCCACATGAGTTAATCCATGTTTTTGCACATGGCTAAACTAATCACTAATTTGCACCTGAGCTTGAGATGTTGAAGCGGGCTTTATCTGTAGCACTAATTAAACAAGCTTAACTCAGCTTCAATGATTAATTAAAACAGTGCATCTGGTTGAACTTGCCATGGAATTTGCCAACATTCACCAACTTAAGCTCTTCAAATAAAAAACATGGAAAAGTAACATTTGAACAAAGCATGACTTACACTTAAGTGTGTTTGATGACTGAAAATGACCATCAGGGATTAACTTTTTGTGTAAAACCTTGGTACAAAAAACAATCAACTTACAAATGCACAGTGTATATGTATTTATTCATTACATAAAACCAAATTACACCAGGTTATAACCAAAAATATAAGGTTTTCACCCAATCAAAGAACACTGTTCATTAATTTAGAAAAAAATGAACAAAAAAACAAACAATTTCTCAACAACCGCTGCATTTTTTTAACCAAGTGCTCTTATTCGAGATTGCTTTTCTAATAATTTAAATACAAAATAAGCAATTTCTTCATTAGGAATGTGTACCGTAGATGTATCATGTACAAATATAAAAGCATTGTGGATGGCTTATCTCAAAAACTCTGCTCTTGTCTTTACATTGGCATATAAGTTAAGCTGTGTACAGCGTTGAGGGTGCAAACATGTGCACGGACATCCCAGAGTGCTACTGATCGCTAACATATTTGCATCTATAATATGTTTATGTGCATTAATATGGCTCCCAAAGGCAGACTGGCCTGCCCACACAAACGGGGCTTGTAGGAAAATGAATTCTCCTGATTCAAGAATTCAGGTGGGGTTTATGTGGGTTTCCAAAGCTCCCACATAACGATGAACATTCTGCGCTTCCTGTGGTTTTTATAAGGCATTGCTCTGTTTATCACGTCCCACATCGTGAAAGTACAAGTTGGCACAGATACACAGCAGAACGATGGAGCAGAGCATGTAGTAGATCAAGTTGCGGAACTTAGGCTCCAGATCGCCCTGCCTATACCAGTATATCTGAAAGAATGAGAGAGATTGCATTTACTTGCATTGATTTTTATTTTGGTACCATTGAAATAATCAATGCTTTTTTACTTACCAGAACCAACACTGAGCCGCAGACTAGCATGATGCAGATGGCAAAGAATATATTGAGTGGTTTGGGAGGCAGTGAAGGAAAGACGAATGAGCTAATGATGGTCACCTGAAAGAGAGGCTGAGTTTGAGTCAAATATGATAAACAGGTTGACTGATGATATGCTTATATGATGATGTACTAAAATCACAGTTTTCACCAAAAAAAAAAAACTACATTACATGGATTACACTGTTTCAATAGCAAATGAAGAACCAAGAACCATTTTTAATTGAAAGTGGTGTTGCATAAATGGCCCCTGAAATTTTCATTAGAGGTAAACACTTACCAGAACAAGCAAAGATGCAAGTCCACCGACTACTAGATTGATGATTCTATCCTGGAGGTGATCAACAGCATTATATTAGTGTACAGTGTAGATAACAGGAAGTAAGCAATATAACATCACTTTACAGGTGCTTTTCCTATGGTAAATATACTATTTGTTATATCTACACAACACAGCACCAATGTAATGCTTCAAGAGTATAAAAATGAGTTTGAAAAAAGAAAATTTAAGTAATTTGCAGATAAAGTTCAGTTATTTATTCTATTTCTCATCAATATTTAAATATGTGACCCTGAACCACAGAATCCGTCATAAGAATGCATTTTTATGGCTATGCAACTTTAATAAGCTTTTCTTACTCTCTCATGCTGCAAAACAGCTTTACTATCTACTGTATTTGGAACCATAACGACATTATTTATTTTAGATTGTGGAAGAAAATTCACCTACGGAAGTGATTATGGCGCCGCCCGGTGGTGAAGGTAGATGTACTCATGACAGGTATTATTTGGTAGTTTGGTAATTTAACTAATTTGGCAACTGTTAAAACATTGAATGGGAAATGGATTGAAAGGGTTTTTTGCATACATAAAGTGCATCCCAAATCAAATAGTTTTGCACTGTTCTACGCCATTTTGTCGTTCAAATATTTTAAGTAGTGCATTCACACTGAAAATTAAAAAAATAATAATAAGTGGACTAAATATCAGAATGAGGCACTTATTCAACAGATTTAAAAATATGTGTAGGATGTTGGACACTTCAAGCACTCAATAATCGCAGTTAGATTACTTATTTTGGATTGTGGATGCAAAATTCTACTACACAAGTGATTATGGCGCCGCCCGGTGGTGAATGTAGATGTGCTCTGACAGGTATTATTTGGTAATTTGGTCATTTATTTACCTAATTTGGCAACTGGTAATCATTGATTGGGAAACAATTCAAAAGTTTTTTTTCATATCTATTAGTTGCGTGAGTAAAATCAATTACTTTTGCACTATTCTACACCATTTTGTTGTTTTAAAAGTGTAAGTAGTGCATTCACACAGAAAAATATAAAATTAGAATAAGCGCACTTTAAATATCAGAATGATGCACTTATTCAACAGATTAAAAAATACGCGTGGGATGTTGGACACTTCAAGCACTCAATAATCACAGTTGGATTATTTATTTTGGATTGTGGAAGCAAAATTCTACTACACAAGTAATTATCGCACTGCGTGGTGGTAAATGTAGATGTACCTGTGACAGGGATTATTAGGTAGTTTAGTAATTTATTTAACTAATTTAGCAACTGGGAAACATTGACTAGGAGGTCGTTTGAATTTCTATTTAGTAAAATAAATTTGTGTCATTAATATTCATAATAATGTGACATTAAGTGTGTCATTTGGAATGCAACTATAATATAAACCATTTTGATGGATTCAAACAATATGTTATGACAGCTGTTTAACCCTTAAGCCTGATTTATACTTCTGCGTCAGGTGACCGGCGTAACCCACGGCGCAGGCAACGCGCGTGGCTGTGCATTTATACTTCTGCGCGCTGTCTCTGTCGGCCTGCATTAACACTTCCGAAACGCTAGTTGGCAGTGAGGTGTAAATGTTTCTCTGTGTCGAGTTTCTTCGCTACTTTTTTGCTTTTCCTGAACACTTCCGGGATGTACAAGTGGCTCAAACTCGCTCAATTTGAGGCAGGAACCGGCGGACGTGCAACAACTTTAACTATGAGGTAAACACAAAACAAAACTTTCCATCCGGAGCTCCTTCACGGGACTCCACACTTGTAAACAATCGCTCACGCGGCTCTCGGTCCCGCCCAGACTCGTCAGCGCTACCAAGCCGACCAATCACAGAGCTTACGCTACGCGTCGTTGCGACGTGTAGTTACATTTTTTGAGAGGTGCACGTCAGTGACGGCGATGGCCACGGCGAAGGGCTATGCGTCAGCGCCGTAGCATACGCCGGTGTTTGACGCAGAAGTATAAACCAGCCTTTAAAATATGATGGAATTGCATCTTGTTGCAGTAATGAAATAGTTTGAAAACAAGCAGGAAATGTTTATGGGCCAATGACATCACTAAATTGAAATGGTCTATATAGAAATCATATTAAATACAAGCATGCGTTTATGGAATACATTTTAGTTAGGCTAATTTAATTGGAATAAATTAGTGTTGCTTCAAAAAGCGCTCGAAAAAAATCTTTGTTAATGTTGACTTTATAAAAGCAAATAAATAAATCATTCGGTTACCCTGGCCGAGATCTCCCCAAAAACACCACAGAATTTATTCACTATAAACATCTGATTTTTCATGTTAGTTTTGTTTTGCTTAGTAAATTTGAGTTATTTTATCAATATAGCAGGCTTCGTTTCCTACATTGTATCAGACTTCCTGAAAGTCACCAATAACAGTTGGTCAGGATAACTAATTTACTCTCATTTGTTGTGATGATTGAAAGTCAGGTTTACTCCACCAGAGTAGGGGTCCTTCTGTGTAGATCAGTGGTAGGGTTGCACCAGCTGTCGGTATGCTATTGCTTAAACAGGAACATAAAGTGCACACTAGAGGCTTAGTAACCACTAGCTAGTTCGTAACTAAATTTGTTCTTACTTCGGTTGCACCACATGCTCTTAAAGGCAGAACATAGTTAGTAGGCCGTAAGCTCTCGGTAACGTAATGCGCAGTCGCATTGAATGACGTAATATCCAATAAAAAGCCTTTAAATCGTTAAACTGCTAAACTCAAAAATATTTAGTGGTGTGTAACTTACTGTCCATTTATGTCCCAACCAGGCTGTTTTAACTCTCATGCACTGCTGGTACAATCAACCCCAAATCTAGAGTTAAACACTTTAATAAACAAAGGTAAAACACTGGTGTTTCATCGTCAGTATTATTTGCAAAAATTTAAATGCTCTAAGGCACAACATCTTTATTTAAAATTGAGAAGAAAGGTCAATATCAGCAGTTATTCACAGATTAAGCTGTAACTGAACATTACAAATGCAAAGAAACCAATAATTGCAGCTGGTGTTTCAATGCTGTGCTGTAGCTGTGCTTTAACTGTTATATACTGCATGAAATGAAGTCAGTTTATGCGTCTCTTCTACAAAATAAAGGACGTGTTTGGGTCATACGGTCAACAAAAGCAGAGCTGTGGGACGTGTGGATAGACAGTCCCTGTAATGAAGGACATCCACTCATGGACAGGTAAGATACTGTTATGAAGCAAACACATAGACCACTATCAATTTCATGTCGAAGGTCAAAATAAAGTGGCGCAACTGAACATGTTCAGACATTCATTGATGATTTAACACATCGATCTGATCTTGTGCATCTGTTATTTGAATATGTAAATGTGTTTAGTCATTAGCTCACTCAGACTTTAATGATCATTCACTGAAATGTGCACAAATAACTAATCAAGATTTACCGTAAATGCATGATGAATGATCAGTCCTCATGAAGTTTGACTGTGGTTTAACCTGTGCTGGAAATTAATGGTCATCACAGGTCTGTAGAAGCCAGAGACTCATCCATCCTGAACCATCCAGAGACTCAGAGCTTTACATCTTCATTACTGAAGCAGAGGAAGAGGCGTTCAGTAAAATCTCTTGAGTCGAGATCTTCATGAAGAACAAAAGTGAAATGATATTTAACTTAATTCTTCATACTTTAACTTAACACTGATTTATAAAGCACACGCTGCAGCCTGTACAACTGAACTGAATGAACATGTATGAAGTAGCAATGACATTTAACAGTTTTTGGAGATATAAACATTTGTTTGAATGGATAGTGTGAATTAAATGTGTGATGAACAAGTTTTAATAATAAAATATATATTTTGAACAATCTGAGTTTAATGTTTCTTTCACATTGGGAAGTGCTCAACATGAAACCAGCTAAAAAATAATGAGATTGCCAGAGAATTAGTAAGAGTTTAAATGGTTATAATGCAAATTGCTCTGGTTTTAATTGAAACTGCAATGTGCTGGTGAGTTTTACTTGTATTGTGTTGCCTCCTATCTTATATAGAGACCTGAGCATATATGAACATATGTGAGAGGATCTGGAGCAGTTCAACCACTCTACCACCAGATGCCCTGAGTTAGACTTCTTAGCTGAAGACACATTGGCAATCTCCTTTTAGTGAAAGCAGTGCTGAAATGTCCATATATGAACACCTGAGATTATAGAGAATGTATTTAAACATATACGCACATATTTTAATTACTTTATATTTTTAAATTATATATTTTTTATTTATATATTAGTTATATTTGTAAACAAACATGTTTCAAATGTGATATTTTATATATGTGAAATTTAAACATGATCTTGAATGTCATATGTGTCATTTTCATGCATTGCCATGTCAGATTTCTATATGGGATTGGTGTGGTGGTAACTGGATGGTAAAAGCACAAAATCCTGCTGCTCTGGAATTGTTTGCAGATTCCGGCAGTATTGATATAAACGCTGTTTGATTCTGCAAACAAGACACAGCAAAACACTTTAACTGTGATCAACAGCGGCGCACGTGCATGTAAATAAATCAAGTCAAACGCGCATCTACTTTACCCAGAGTCTCGGAGGATTGTCCATTCATCGCTGCCAGTGTTTACATGAGCTTTCCAGTTCACCTGTTTTACTCCATCAGGTTAAAGCTGATCTCGATCTTCTGCTGGCCGAGACAATCACAAAGTCAAATGTGTTGTAAAATATCCTGGAATATCATAGAAATCCCCTTAATCTGTATTCAGTGTTCACTCGACTGACTGTGCGTCCACCCTGTGCGTGTTTATTTCATTAATGCGGATACACCTATTGACCACAGGAGGGAGCTGAGGATCACCTATTCACAAGTTTATTAGACACTTTTTCTTGAGGGTGAACATGTTTTAAACTGAATCCTTAAAACCTTCTGAGTCAGTGATTGGAATTTGACATTAAACTATTAAAATAATAATTTTAAGCGTGTTTAACCTACAACACGACTCGTGTGTTATAAACTGTAGCGCAGTTCTCCATCCGCTCCACTAGGCGGCGCGCATTGCTTTACGTTCAGTCTGACTCGCAGCTTCAGGTGTTTGACAGCATGAGACTTGATGATACAAATGATAAACACAAACCCTGACAGCTCCGTGATTTCATTATAATATCTCTAAACAGCACATAAACAACCCGAACCGTAAAGTGCAGGAACACAGTGACAATACAGTGACCTGTAAGTAACGTTTATATTGTTTGTTTGTTTGTTTGTTTGGATGAATGTTTCTTCTGAACTCTCTTGGCTGGGCAGGTCAGTTTATTTAAATAAACATATGTAAGTCACAATATTGTCATTTTAATGAGGTTATTTTTACAATGTTTGTTTTATTTGACAACATGAGCATGTATTAATGCAGTCTGGTCCTTCATGGAGGTTTATCACAGACTTTTCTGACATGATGCTCTATTGCTGCTCTAGATGATATTCTCTTGCTGTTATTAGTATTTGTGTGTGTGTTGTCTGTGTATATTGGTGTTGTGTAGATCTAAAGTGTTATAATATTTTGATATTACATTTAAAATTGTCTTAAATAGTTTTATTATTATTATATATTGAATTAATTTAGCTATTTCCTTTTCATACAATATGGTTTATACTGCAAAAACAGAACAATCAATAGTATTTGTCTTGTTCTTGTGTATGTTGTAGGCTTGCTATAGCTGAAACACAGAGACAGCTTGAAGGCCATAGCCTTGACTTCAGGTTATCGCTAGACAGAATGAAGTGGAGGACCCTTCATACACCAGACAGCAGGAGGGATTCATTAACTCACCTCGACTTGAACAGCATGTGAGTCACACAGTCTTCATTCTTTTAGAAATGAGTTCCTGCTGTTTGTTTTATTATTTGAAGACTTTTAATTATGAATATATTGTGATATGATTTTATTAAAATATGTGACAGACTTTTATAGTTATTTATAGTCAGTATATTTTAATAGGTTGTAATTATTTCAATTTACTTGAATAAATTTTATGTTTTAATTGTTTTCATATTCTTAATTCTGCTTTAATATACAATTTTGACAAATTAAAAAAGTAATTTAATATTAGAAAAAAGTTTTGAAACTTAAAATTAGAAATTCCGGTTGAAAGACGTAAGATTTATATATTATTTTTATATTAATAATTGTTAATATATGCAGATACTAATTGTTATTTTATTGAAATGGTTTATTGTGTTAATTTTTTTTTTTAAATGGCGGCACACGTGGGTAACATCAAAATAACAAAAAGAACAGTTCATTGTATGTCCAGTGATGGCCTAGTGGTCAGAGCAAAGGGTTAGAGATCCAAGGCCATCACATGAGATGTGGGTTCGAATCACCATGCTGATACTGAAATTTTCTATAAAGTTCATTTTAGGCCGTTTTTGGGTTCAAAAAAAAATTTTCCTCCTCTGCTTTTCCTCCTCCCACCAGATCTCCTTCTCTCACCACCACTCCTCCTCGTCGTCTCTCTACTCCACCCTTCTCTTGGCCACGCCTCTCTCATCCTTGTCACGCCCATCGCTCAGTCCGACACTCACCACCGCAGTTATGTTTCTAGTCCGTGTTTCAGTTTCTCTTGTCCGCGCAACCATTCTGTGTTACCGCCCCAGTTTGTTTCCAGTGTCTGCCTCTTGTGTCTCACCGCCCCAGGTTGTTTCCAGTAACCGCCTCTTATGTTGTACCGCCCCAGGTACTTTGCTGTTTTCACAGCTGTGTTTGGTGGGATTCGAACCCATGTCTCGTTTGTAACCTTGTCCGCAACCAACGGTGTTTGCCACTAGTGCCATCGTGACTTTCACACTGAGAACTGAACTTCGTGCAATTTTGTCTTTTTTCTGACAACAGTTAAACATAAACATAAGTGGGATTCGAACCCCGGTCTCCAAGATGAAAGCTGAGGTCTTTATCCACTGACCCATTGGGCCTGTGTAGATAATGTGTGTCCCAAACAGAGTTTTATTGATATGTTTAATGTGTATGCAGAAAAATTGTTGCAAAGGTGGGATTTGAACCTAACCTTTCTTGTTTGATATGCAATCATTCAACCACTAAACCACAGAAGTTGCTGGATTGATGTGTGGAATTTTTTGTTTTTAGCTAAAGGTCAGACTGCAGTTATGACGTAATGTTTGCAAGAGTGGGATTCAAACCCACACCTTTGCGTCATAAAATAGGCAAAGAACAAATGTTTAACCATTGCGCCACAGAGGCAGTGACCATCACGGTGTGTTTGCTCTCAGACTGATGCTTGTTGTTACTACGGCTAAAGCATTGGTTTCAACATTCTTCCCTTTAGCAATAGTGGGTTTCGAACTCCTGACTTTTCACTATAAAACATGCAAAGAACAAGAACTTAGCCACTGCGCCACAGAGCTAGTGTTGATCATTGGGTTTGTTTTCAAAGTGATTATTGTTTTTACTGAAGCTTAAGCATTAATTAAAATACATTTGACTGTAGCAAGAGCGGGATTCGAACCCACAACTCTGCGTTATAATCCATGCTACAGGCGAATAGTTATCCTCTGCACCACAGAGACAGCAGCCATTTTAGTGTCTTTGTTTTCAAAGTGATTCTTGATTATACCTCAGCTCTAGCATTAATTTACAAACATCTCACATTAGCTGGATTTGAACCCACGTCTCTGCATTATAGAAGATGCCAAGAGCGAATGATTATCCTCTACACCACAGAATTAGTAGCGTCTGTAGATGTCAGATTTAAGTATAAGTAATTTAAATTCATCAGTACAGCTGCAGCGTTGATTACAATATATTTAGGGTTAATGAAAGTGGAATTTGATTTCACGATTTAGTGGTACAAGTGTTTAAGCGCTAGTTTTGCAATCGGGGAGACCGGGGTTCAATCCCCACCTCTGCGAATGTTGTGGTTAAGAAAAATAAACATATAACAGCTATAATCAATCCGTTACAAACTTTGTGATGCAGAGGATAACAATTCAGCCTTCATATTTGTAATCAGAGCATGAGTTCAGTATATTTATTGTGCAAGTTGAACACTAGTTTTTTTAGGAGTTTAATTTGGTCAGCGATTATACACTGCACCGCAGACTTTGTGATGGTTCATAGGGATTTGATTTATGGTGTTTTAATGTTTCATTTTCTTTTAATGACATTTCCATGTCAGCAGTACTGGGACTTGAACTCTGGTTTCAGGTACTGGAAGGCACTGACTTATTGCCTGAGCCACTGAAGGACATAAGTATGAGCGTGTTTTTTTGCATATTGCAATTATCAATGTTCAGCAGCTGAACTAATTATGCTGCAGCTGCATTTTAAGTCAGCAATTAAGGGATCTGAACTCCCGATGTGTGTTTTACCCTCTTTGGCCACATGAGTTAATCCATGTTTTTGCACATGGCTAAACTAATCACTAATTTGCACCTGAGCTTGAGATGTTGAAGCGGGCTTTATCTGTAGCACTAATTAAACAAGCTTAACTCAGCTTCAATGATTAATTAAAACAGTGCATCTGGTTGAACTTGCCATGGAATTTGCCAACATTCACCAACTTAAGCTCTTCAAATAAAAAACATGGAAAAGTAACATTTGAACAAAGCATGACTTACACTTAAGTGTGTTTGATGACTGAAAATGACCATCAGGGATTAACTTTTTGTGTAAAACCTTGGTACAAAAAACAATCAACTTACAAATGCACAGTGTATATGTATTTATTCATTACATAAAACCAAATTACACCAGGTTATAACCAAAAATATAAGGTTTTCACCCAATCAAAGAACACTGTTCATTAATTTAGAAAAAAATGAACAAAAAAACAAACAATTTCTCAACAACCGCTGCATGTTTTTAACCAAGTGCTCTTATTCGAGATTGCTTTTCTAATAATTTAAATACAAAATAAGCAATTTCTTCATTAGGAATGTGTACCGTAGATGTATCATGTACAAATATAAAAGCATTGTGGATGGCTTATCTCAAAAACTCTGCTCTTGTCTTTACATTGGCATATAAGTTAAGCTGTGTACAGCGTTGAGGGTGCAAACATGTGTACGGACATCCCAGAGTGCTACTGATCGCTAACATATTTGCATCTATAATATGTTTATGTGCATTAATATGGCTCCCAAAGGCAGACTGGCCTGCCCACACAAACGGGGCTTGTAGGAAAATGAATTCTCCTGATTCAAGAATTCAGGTGGGGTTTATGTGGGTTTCCAAAGCTCCCACATAACGATGAACATTCTGCGCTTCCTGTGGTTTTTATAAGGCATTGCTCTGTTTATCACGTCCCACATCGTGAAAGTACAAGTTGGCACAGATACACAGCAGAACGATGGAGCAGAGCATGTAGTAGATCAAGTTGCGGAACTTAGGCTCCAGATCTCCCTGCCTATACCAGTATATCTGAAAGAATGAGAGAGATTGCATTTACTTGCATTGATTTTTATTTTGGTACCATTGAAATAATCAATGCTTTTTTACTTACCAGAACCAACACTGAGCCGCAGACTAGCATGATGCAGATGGCAAAGAATATATTGAGTGGTTTGGGAGGCAGTGAAGGAAAGACGAATGAGCTAATGATGGTCACCTAAAAGAGAGGCTGAGTTTGAGTCAAATATGATAAACAGGTTGACTGATGATATGCTTATATGATGATGTACTAAAATCACAGTTTTCACCAAAAAAAAAAAACTACATTACATGGATTACACTGTTTCAAAAGCAAATGAAGAACCAAGAACCATTTTTAATTGAAAGTGGTGTTGCATAAATGGCCCCTGAAATTTTCATTAGAGGTAAACACTTACCAGAACAAGCAAAGATGCAAGTCCACCGACTACTAGATTGATGATTCTATCCTGGAGGTGATCAACAGCATTATATTAGTGTACAGTGTAGATAACAGGAAGTAAGCAATATAACATCACTTTACAGGTGCTTTTCCT